GCACCCATTGTTATAGAAAAACAGTCCAGGAAAAAAAAAAAAAAAGATACTGTGAAGTTTATTCATAAAATCTTTCCCCAGTGGAAGCCTAAGTAGACCTCATATGTATTACATGTTGTCTAAATAACAATATTTTGTTCCAAAATTCAGCTTAAGTTCAACTATTTCATTAAATACAATAAGAATTTTCTGAAGAAATAAATTAGGAAAATACCTAATAATCTTCAGAAAATACACTGTATCACAATTTTGCTGATTAGAATTTTACTGTAAGCTAAGAACTGCTTCTCCCAGAATAATAAAAAAAATCCAAACAAACAATCAAACTAATGTACAATATCACATTCAGAGGGAGAGCAGGAGTGTATCTCCTTTAGAGAGGCCTCATTAAAATTAAAATTAAGAATGTTCAATTTTTAAACGTCCCTTGTAAAATTTGTACCTCTGAAATTCTCCATTATAGCCTCTAGTTGCAAAACCAACCACAGTCACGAGTTGCACATGGTTATAATAATTTTTTAACAGTATGAACAGAACTTCTCTGCCTGGTGCAAAGTCAGATGAAACTRCTTACTAAAAATAGCTGGGTTAAAAAGTGATTTCAAATTCACTCACCTGCTAAGAACATTGAAGAATTCAGAAAGTGGGTTGTACCAGAAAAAAAAACCCCTTGCAAATACAAACAAATTGTCAGGCAGTTTACATACCTAATTGAATCTCCTTTTGTTTCACAGAYTGTGATTCAGAGAAGTTTGGCAGCATTATTAATTGCCAGGGTGTGTCAGTGATGAGCTGCCATGCTCTGGATGGTGGGTCCTGGTAGTGCTTCAGAAAGTAAGCAGGGCCACTTGATTTTAATTTATTTCATTGATTAMACAAATAATAGTTTTGTTTCATAAAAAACCCCAAAATTTTATAGACAATTCCAGCATCTTCCATGAATTTCCTGCTTACCTCTTGCTTCCCAACAAATCTTGTGAGTTTTAGTGAAGTCTCAAATATYGTACAGAAGAAGGAAGAGTAAATGGATCAAGTGGACTGCAGTACTGAGAATACCTTCTGTGCTCACCTGGTCAACATCTGCATCTCTACAACATGTGGGTAGTTGAGATCGTGTCCATGTGCTACTTATATCCTGCTTTCAGAAGCTGCCCTCACATTTGAAAACATGTTAGAGATCATCAAGTTACTTTCGTGTGTTCCTATAGAACTGCTTTTAGTATCCTCATTTATAATCTCTCTAATTTTTGCCCTTTGAGAAAGACACAGATAGTCCAATTTGGCACTAGGGGTAACATCTGTTCTAAAAAGAAAAAAGAATATATTTCCTGACTCTTTCTTCACTTTTACAARAAGGACATCAGCCATCATAGTTTTGCTATGGCGCAACACATGATGTAGGGCAGTTCCTGGCTCAGTGCCATGCTGTGCATACCCGAAGTATTCAAGAGTGGTGTGCATTCCATGGTTTCACCAAGTAGTTGCTGTGATAACACTGAAATAATTTCATTTTGCATGACAGTGACAAGGAGAAAACATAGGGAGAGGAAGGGAAACTCTTCCCTTGTGCCTGTCCACAGCTGCAAGRGCTAACAATTCTTAAAATCCTTACTTCTGTGGCATTTAACATTGAATACTAGAAGTGAAACCAAAGGATCCCCAGATTCATCAGAGTAGACTAGACCTAGAAAACCAACTCACTGATTACTTATAAAGAATGGCAGCAGATAACAAATGCATTGSCTTGGATTACATATTTAGATGTTTTGGATGGCATAGAATTCCACAGTTTGTGAGTTTGGAGAGAGAACAGTTGATGCGAGTCCAAGATTGAAATTGCTCATAATCTCCTTATTCTGCACAAAGCATATGAAGACAAGACTGAAAGCAGCTACTAAAAATTAAGGTTATTTGTTCCTGTTCTGAAATTAAGATAAGAGCATGTTACATCATAATAAAACCACTATTAAAAGATTTTGAAATGCCTTCAGAGCAGTGTGGAAGAAGATAACTTCATATAAATTGAGAGAATTTGTGAGCCATAGCCAAATTTCTTCACCTAAACCAAATTTTTACATTCAGTTATACAATCAGAGGTATTTCATGGGTTGTGAGACATCCTTGAAAATCCCATCCAACTCTTTTCTAATAGGAGCTAAGCCAGAGGAGTGTGGGTCTCCAAAATGCGGTCTAATRAAAGATATTATTGGTATTAGAGGCTAGAAATTCTGTACATAAGGCTTATCCAATTTTCCAAGTATATTATCTGGCCTAAAAAGGATGCTTGCTACCTGTGTCTAGAAACTTTGCCTTACCTGCCTTTTGAYTATCACAGCAAGAGCAGTGTAACCATACAGTGAGCCAGTTCTTTCACGAAGTTCATGTCTGTTTCTGGGGAATGATTTTTCTTAGGCTTCTGTGAAGCTCTGAAATACCTGAATGAGCTTCTTTCTCATTTTTGGACTTCCTCTGAATTTCTAAATCACAATCAGCTTGTATTTAATTTACCTAAAGATTCTAAAGAGCCTAAGTTGTAAGACAGTTCATGATCAGTCTTCAGCCATCAGCGCATTAGGGCAAGGCCACAGGAAAGCTCTCAGAAATCCCGACATGGTCAGAGGTTACCCCAGAAGGTGAGAGACTTCAAGTGACACAAACATGTGCCTCACTTGCTGATGTGATGGGGAATGGGTGAGGAACATCTTTCTTTGCTGCAATGAAAGGGAATCTGATGTAGCAAAAGCAACTCGTTCAAAAAGACAGAGCGGGAACCACGGAGGAAGTTCAGTTTGCTCTGAGGGCTTTAGTTTTACTTCCCTTACTTTTATGTAAGATGGAAGYGAGTTTACATTGTTGTTCCCTCTGGAGATCAAGTGTTTCTCTGACCTGCTGTCACCCAGAAAGAACAGGGCTGACCAGAACCAGAACAAGTACAGGAAAGGTTCACAGCCAGGTGTGCAGCGCTGGTGGCATCTCTCGTGCTTTCCGTGGAAGCCAAGGGAGGGCACAGCACACATCACTGACATTGGTCCTCAGAGGACASATATTCAGTGCAGCTGCTGATTGAAGATAGAGGAGCTGAGAAAAAAGATCAAAGGCTTACAGAAGACAGGTCAGGCACTCTACATGTTTGCATTCTGTGTATTTGCGTTTGGCTGGGAGAGCTTTTCCCCAGCTGGAGTCCCCAGCAGATGCTCTCCATCCTGCCCCATTKCCAGCACATACCCTAGAAAAACAGATTGCAGGCACTTCTTTCTCCTTCCACGCTCTGCCAACTGCATCATTCCCAGGGCTCACACTGGAAATCAGATGGGCCACAGCCTTGCCCAGAGGCACCTTCTGTTTCCTTTGCTGCCTGGCCACAATAAAGGTGGTTTGGAGAGAAGAAGGATTTTGGAATGTTATTTTGTAGTATGCCAAATAATAAATGCTAAAAATCATCAAGACTCCCTCTGACAAAATGCACTTTTTAAAGGCCTGGTTATTTAAGCCTTCAGTTTTCATTGTCCTCCTAGGGCACCACACCTTCAGGTGCATGTCTGAGTAAGTGTGCAAGTGACAGAAACAGAGAGGAATATTTGTGATGCTCACTGCTGCATATTTAACTCTTGCAAGCACTTCTGTTCCCTGAGTATCCAGGAATTCATTCTAAACAGTAAACAGCCTCCCTAACAGCCTCTATTACATCTGCTTCTTTATAGTGATAGCATAACCCAACAGTTCATTTTATCTTCCATGTCTGCTTCCCAAATTCTTGTGTCAGTCCCTCTTGCACCTCGAGGAGTTTTGAATCCATCTTACTAAAGCCCAAAGGGCTGCAGAAGGCTAAGACACCGATCCAGAGCTCTTCACTCCTGCACCATTTTCTGATATGATTTTTCTTTGAGGAAAGGTTTTCTCCTGGGAGATAGAAAG